TATCTCAAAGCTGAAGAAATATAAATAAAGCAGGTGAGAGATTAGATATCCTATTCTAATCTTCCTATGATTATTTGGGGTACTATTATTTAAAACCACATTTAATTTTTAGATATTTATTTCTATTTAGGCCATGTATTTTTTTTTTAAATTTTTTAGTTTATTTATGATAGTCACAGATTGAGAGAGAGAGAGAGAGAGAGAGAGAGAGAGAGGCAGAGACACAGGCAGAGGGAGAAGCAGGCTCCATGCACCGGGAGCCTGACGTGGGATTCGATCCCGGGTCTCCAGGATTGCGCCCTGGGCCAAAGGCAGGCGCTAAACCACTGCACCACCCAGGGATCCCCTAGGCCATGTATTTTTTAAAAGTCCTATTAGAAATTCTTCACAGCTTGCAAGGATGCATTAAAAATAGGATGTCAAAATTTCATGGGAAGGAAATAATTCCAAAATTATGTATAAGCACATCTATGAATCAGATATAATAAAGAACACAGTCTGAAGAAAAGAAGTGCAATATAAATGCTAACTTCCATGATCAAATAATATTCAGCATCATGTACAAAGGGACATTTGAAAGCAACCATTAATGGTTTTCACGGCGTGGTAGATTCATGAATTCATCTATGCTTCTGTCTTTCCTGCTTTCTGAGAAATCTCTGGATCTCAGTCAGGAAGCAATATGGTGAAAATCTGATTGAAGAAAAATAGAAAATGGAAAAGTGATAAAGTGGCATGCAATTATCCCTGATGATGGAACCACCATGGGGATTCAGTAACCAGAAGCACATGACGTGTGTTCACACTGTTGAGTAATGTGTCTGGTGAGTCATTACAGCCCCACATCATGTAACAAAATTACAATCTAGAAGCAGAAAGATGGTGGCGCAGGTTCACAATCACCTTGTTCATCCAAAGACAAGCTACATGACATATAAGAGATTATGAAACTGGCTTGTAGCATGCTTACGGGAGGCTTTCACACCAGATTTTTTTTAAAAAGGCTGCTGGAAACAAAATAATTACTGAATATTTTTGCAGGTAGCAATACCACTTCGACAGGGCTTGCCAACAAGCTGTCTTGCTTATGTAACCAAACTCACCTGCCTCACTGGGGGCTCTCTTGTTCCAAGCACCAGCAGCCCCTGCCTGACTGGATGCAGCATCCATGTGGCTTTGGCCCCCCTCACCGCTTTGTTTTTATTCTGTTTCTGATCCTCAAAGATGCTTCTTTAAAAAAAAAAAAAAGATTTATTTATTTATTTGAGAGAGAGAGAGTGAGCATGACGGGGGTGCGGAGGGGCAGGAGGAGAGGGAGAGAATCTCAAGCAAACTCCCTGTTGAGCACGGAGCCCCACGTTATGACCCTGAGACCATGACCTGAGGCAAAACCAGGGTGGGATGCCTAAGCAACTGAGCCACCCAGGTGCCCCAAAGATGCTTCTTTTGTTTTTGAGCCTGGCCCTGTGTTTTCACTTGTTCATAATTTTTTTAAAAAAAGTATTTATATATTTATTCATGAGAGACACAGAGACACAGGCAGAGGGAGAAGCAGATTCCCTGCAGGGAGCCCGATGCAGGACTGGATCCCAGCATCCCAGGATCATGACCTGAGCCAAAGGTAGATGTTCAACCACCCAGGGGCCCTGGTTCCATGTTTTTAAAGTTCCCTTGAAATATTTTGTCTGTTTTTGTTACATGCTCAGAGTGACAGAGGGTTAGAGGGATGTGAACTCAAAGTGAGAACCTAAAATGGCACCTCAGGTAGCATGGTAATGAAAGACATTACTACATGAATGCTTCATCTCAAATATCGACTTGCATTGATATAGAAAACTAGGGATCCTAGGAAGTGTTGGGTTACCGGTCCAAAAAGGCACTGTACAAGTGTCTTGTTTTTAGTGTTTGTGGGTATGGGGGCCTCAGCAGGTCCTAAAATCATATACGTGTGGCTGGATTTCTCGGTAAGGAGTGTCCGCCACCGATACAAAACAGGATCTGCCCACTGTTTCCTTTTCACAAAGGAGTTAAGGGTCACTCAGTAGCTAATATCCTTTTTTTAGCATAGTATGATGAAACTCCTTTGTTAAAGAATAAAATGTTGGGGCACCTGGGTGGCTCAGTGGTTGAGCACCTGCCTTTGGCTCAGGTTGTGACCTCGGGGTCTTGGGATCGAGTCCTGCTTTGGGATCCCCGCAGGAAGCCTGCCTCTCCCTCTGCCTGTGTCTCTGCCTCTCTGTGTGTCTCTCATGAATAAATAAATAAAATCTTAAAAGGAAAAGGATAAAATGTTCAGTGAGGCTCATTAAGGATGCTAAAGCAGACCTTGTTCAGGACCCTCGTGCTAGGCATAGGGACCAACTGCGGTGGGATTTTACAGCGCAGGAGGGAGGTAGGCCTCAACTATGACTACAAATGGGGTGGAGAGGACTCTATAGAAAGGTGCAGGGTGGAGGGCAGTGGATACAAAACACTCGGGGATGAGGGGGTTTTGGTTGAACCCACTCACTGGGATTTTTGCCGAAGACAGGCTGAGGTGATGGGACATCCTCTGGGGGATGCTGGAGGTTTGGTCAAGAGTCTTTGTCCAAAAAAAAAAAAAAAAAAGTCTTTGTCAGCTTCTGTATCACCCATTCCATGACCTTGATTGCAACTTCAGACTTGACATCATCCGTATTATATACTATTTAAAATTACAATTTCCACCTTAGGCGCATCACATCTCTTCCTCCTCATTCAGTTTTCACAATATGGAGGCCTCCTTCTGTTCCAGTGTTTTCGGAGAAGTTATGTGGCATCCTCTAGTGGTGAGTTTAGGTATCAAAAAAAATCACACACACACACACACACACACACACAAAAAATAAATAAAAAATAAATAAATAAAAATCGCGTTGCCGCAAACCTACCGCAGAGCTTGGGAACGACCATCAGCATGTCCCAGGTGCTCTGCCTCTGGGCTCGTTCATCTCATCCTTCGTAGCCCATTTCAACGAAAGCTCCCGTTTTAAGACACGCCGACTCCTGAGAGTTCCTGTTTTTCTAAACTGCAGGAGTGAATCTTTGAGATTTAAAAAAAGATTTTTTAATAAATTTATTTTTTATTGGTGTTCAGTTGGCCAACATATAGCATAACACCCAGTGCTCATCCCATCAAGTGCCCCCCTCAGTGCCCATCACCCAGTCACCCCCCGGCCCCCGTCCACCTCCCTTTCTACCACCCCTAGTTCGTTTCCCAGAGTTAGGAGTCTCTCATGTTCTGTCTCCCTTTCTGATATTTCCCACTCATTTTTTCTCCTTTCCCCTTTATTCCCTGTCACTATTTTTTATATTCTTTGAGATTTTTGAAATTGAATTCAGATTTGGTAGAAGACTATTCTACAAATTATGTCAACAGATCTGTTGTTTTTAGTTGGGTAGAGATGGTGCGGCCAGAAAGCTGGGAGAAGGGTGGGTGAGGGGCAGAGATGGCTATTCTGCTCGTTAATTCTGGTTTGACAACATTCTAAGGCAGACAGTCTTCTTTTTTTTAAATTGAAGTTCAATTTGCCAACGTATAGTGTAACACCCAGTGCTCATCCCATCAAGTGCCCTCCTCAGTGCCCATCACCCAGTCACCCCATCCCCCCCTTCCACTACCCTTTGTTCGTTTAAGGCAGACATTCTTAACACACTCTGGCCTCTCCCCCTCTGGACACACAACTGAATGGTATCCACACTTAAGATGAACACATTCCCAGCCAGCACACCCCAGCACACCCCTGGGGCCCCATATATAACCTCTGTGTCTCTCCTACCCAGGAAAGCCCCGTGAATGAGGAGTAGTACCCGAAGAATGATGGATGGATTCTAGGCATGTGGCTGTGCTGTGGCACCTCCCTGGTGGCCACAAGGGCCACCTGAGCCTCACAGGATTCTTTGACTCTTGGACTTAGTGCTGAAGGAGGGCATTTTCTTGTCCTATCATTTTCTTCCAAGATTTTATTTATTCATGACAGACACAGAGTGAGAGAGAGGCAAAGACACAGGCAGAGGGAGAAGTGGGATCCATGCGGGGAGCCTGATGTGGGACTTGATCCCAGGACCCCGGCCGGGATCACTCCCTGAGCTGAAGGCAGACACCCAACCACTGAGGCACCCAGGCGCCCCTTCCTGTCCTACCATTAATGACATGTGCCACTTCTAGAAAGCTTGCTCTTTTTGGAACTAATCAAGAATCAGTCGACTGAGAAAAAAAGATTTCTTTTTGGTAAAACAAGACAACCCATGGAATAAGGCACCTTCTTTAACATCCATAAGAAACAGATGTGATTTACTGGTTTTCTTAAATAATGCCCACCTGTGGTCCTGGTAATTGGGTGCAGTAGCCAAAGTATATGTCTGCGTATGTGAATGCAGGTGTTCGTTTATTTCATAGGTCAGTTTAAATAATAGTCAAAAGTCATTAGAATATTTAAATGATAGTCAAAGCTCATGTGGAGCAGACATTTATTATTATAAATCGTTAGTTTATACTGTAAATATAATGCTGCAAAATAAACCACCAGGAAATCTAAAAAAAGAAAAAGAAAGAAAAAAATGCAAAAGCAATCATGGTTGCATAAGGCAGAAGGGGGAATGCCAAGAAATTTGACACTAATATTGGCAAAGTCCATTTCTACTTTAAGCAGAAAAAAAAGCAAACTGCACTTGTGTTTGGAAGTCAGTGTGTTGCTTCTTTCTTTTATGACAGGGGGATGGGAAATAAATTTAAATCGCTTCTAATCTGATCAACTGTGAGCAGCTGCCTGGAGCTTTGTGTTGATAATGTTGGGGCAGTTTGGGGGCAGGGAGAAGGAGGGCTGCAAATGCTGTGGGCCAATGGCGGCAAGCCTTACATCTTCTCGGTAACTCTGCCCTGTTGTGATGTGACTCAGGCCACTGCTTCTTAAATGCAAAATGTGCTTTTTAGTTCAGTTAAGTGTTCCTTAGCTGTGGATAAATTTTGTTTCTGAGCAACGATGAGAAAAAGTGGGAGATCATTTCCCAGCACAGGAACTGACTATGGATTTTTAAAGAAACCCAAACAAGCTAAAATAGACACCGCAGGTAATACTGGGAGGAAGGGCACTGACGAGCTTATATTTTTATGGATTAAAGATTAGAGGATACTGGTTGGTTTACAGACTGGGCTAAACTGGGCAAGCTGGTTGTGGTATCCTCCAGTAAGAGACCCCTGGGAGCCTTGGTTGTACCAGAAGCCGATGACCCCATCTGGTAGCTGGTCCACTGGGGACTGACTGTTGTCCATTTCTTTTTTTAATTTAAGATTTTATTTACTTATTCATGAGAGATACAGAGAGAGGCAGAGAATGCAGGTGTTCTGCAGACTAGGCAGAGGGAGAAGCAGGTTCCCTGTGGAGCCAAAGGCAGACGCTCAACCACTGAGCCACCTAGGTGTCCCCTGTTGTCCATTTCTGATGACTCAGAGCAATCATCAGTGGATGGGCTCACCACCATTCTGTAGGCAGTGCCTGTGGTGGGGCTAGGCCCTACCTCCACAGTCCTGGAGGGCCCCCAACTGCTCAAAGGCAGGTGATGGGGTACATACTGCCATGCAGCTCAGGGGAGCCAGGGGGCCGAAACAGGGCAAGTGTCTGGGGAGGTGAGCTCCCAGGAGTGAATTCCAAGCCCTCACCTACACAAATGTGCATATTCCTGTGGAAGGCAGAGAGGAAGAATCTGGAGTGCCTCATCAGGGCTCAATGGAAGGACTGGCCAGGGTAGCCTTCCATAGGACACACTTGAGAGCCTTGATTGTGGCAGAGGTCCAGCAGGTGTTCTGCTATCATGGGGGCTGATTGCCACTCTTTGCAGCTGCTGTCTCAGAGCAGTTTTCAGAAGGTGGGATCCCTAGATGCCAAAGGATACACAGGGTGCCCAGCCTCTCATGTGGGTTTGCAGGACTGGGTCTGCCCAAGGCCAGCTTACTGGTGCATATTGCACATCAGCAGGCTGTATAGCTCAGGCTAGCCAGGGACCTGGGACAGGGCAATGTTGGGCGAGGTCTGTTCACAAAAGTCAGGACTCCAGGGGTACCTGGTACCTGCCTAGTTGTAGGCCTTTCTTATATAAATGAGACTATTCGCCTGAAGATAGAGCTGTAGAAAACTTGACTACGTTACCAGTGTGGGACGCATGGCATGGTCAAAATGATGCCAGCAGGCTGAGTCCAAAGACACAGAGCGGTAAGGAAGGGGTGGGGGCGGTGTCCCATGGGAGGGAAGTCAAATGTGAGCCAGCGGAGTTTACTGAAGATATGAAGAGAGCCAATACAGAAAGTCCAGGAGACTCAGAAAGGAAAGGAGCATGAATTTCATCTTTGGGGTCTGCTGTGCATGTCCTCTCAGGCATCCGGGAACTGGTTTGGACCAGGACAAAGTCCAGGTGTCTATTGTAAGTCACTTATCCCTTGAAGCCAGGGGTCCTGGCGTCAAGATGTCTAGGGCCAGTGGTTTAGAAATTATCTGTTGTGCTGGAAGACTCCAAAGATATGATTAACTCTTAGTTCCATACAAGGAAGACATGCACTGAAGCATGTGTAGTGTGGGGGTGCAGGTCCCAGTAAGAAGAGAAGTGGGGGAAAATAAAGCAAAGGGGGGGAAAACAGTTTTTTCTTTTGTGGGGTCCCTTTTTCCCTGTCTCAAAAATACCCTTTGTAACAGACACCTGGGAGTCTTGCTTGCTGGAGAAGCTTGGGGTCTCACCAGGGAGCCTGTCCACTGGGGATTGAAATCCAAAAGATTTTCGGGGGGAGTGGGCAATCTCTACCTTGGAGGCTCTGCAGGTTTTGGGGACCAGCCTGAGCCCCAAAGTCCTGAAATGCATCAGCAGTCAAAGGCTGGCTGACAGAGTATAGACTGCTCATGTGCCAACAAGTGCAGGTCAAAGGAGCCAGGAACTTGGGAAAAGGCAGCTGTAGGAACAGGCGATTGGAAGGCCCCGCATCTGCCTCATTTCAAGCCCAATCCCACGCAAATGTGCATATTCTCCCAAGGCTGAGCTGGGAGTAATTGCAGAGGCCCCTTACCAACGTGTGACCCAGAGGACTGGCTGGGCCAAGCCAATAAGACACACCTGGGAGTCTTGATTTCTGGAGATGCTGAGCACCCCAAAATGTAACCAGTGCAAATGTAGACTGTTGCCAGTTTAAAGCTGCCACCTCAGAAAGATTTTTGGGAATCGGATCCCTCCAGCCAGAAGGCTATGCAGGTGGTTCGGAACCCACTTCAGCTCCACAGGCCTGGAGGACCCCAGCAGCCCTGGGTGGGCTGACAGCGTGCATACTGCACGAGTCCAAGCTGGCAGGTAAGGGTCATGGGGGACCTGGGACAGGACAGGGGTCTGGATAGGCGGGCTCAGGGGAGTGGGCTCTGCGGTACAGGGCATCTGCCTAGCCAAGCCCTTACCTACACAAATGTCCGTATTCCCCCCGAAGGCAGAGCTGGAGGGTGCCGGACTGCTTTGGTACCTTCCTGCAAGAGGCCCTGGGAGCCCTGATGGCTGGAGAACCTCGGGATCCCCTCGGGCAGCCTGTGCACATGGGGACTGACTATCACCAGTTAAATTTGCCACCTCAGAAGTATTTTGCCAGGGTGTGGGCTTCCTTCACCCTGAGGCCATTCCGGGGGTGGGGGCCTTCCATAGCTCCACGGGCCTGGAGTGCTCCTGCAAACCACGGGGAGCTGACGAGGTCTGGGCTGCATGCGCGCAAGGTGCATAGGGAGGTGCATGAGACCAGGAACAGGGCAGGGTAGAGAGAGGCCCGGTCACAGGGTGGGTGCTTTGGGGTCTCAAGTGCTACAGATGCCCATCTTTACCCCGAAGACAGAGTAGGAGGAAACTACAGGGCCTTGCCAGCATCCATGCAGCCTGGCAGACTGGCCAGGGGGTCCTTCAGTCAGAGACACTTGGGAGCCTCAGTGGCTAGAGAAGCCAAAGGCCAGCAGGCAGCCAGTCCTCATGTGGACTGTCACCTGTTTAAAGCTGCCACCTCAGAAAGATTTTCGGGAGTAGGATCCCTTCACCCAGGAGGCTGTGTGGGAGGTCCAGTCCGGGTCCCAGCTATACTTAGTGGAAGACATGGTACGTACTCTGCATGCATGAGCTGCGCAGCTCAGCATAGTCAGGGACCACACATCCGGAGAAGCCAGGGCCCCAGGGGACGGGCTGTTGGTGGCACAGGGCACCTGGCTAATTTCTGAGCACTAACCTACACAAATGTGCATGTTCTCCCCCAGGGCAGAGCTGGAGGGAACCCAGAACTGTCTAGCCAGGGTGGGCCACACAGGATGGTCAGGGGACCTTCCAATAAAAGACATTTGGAAGCCTTGATTGCTGGCGAAGCCTGGGACACCACCAGGCACCCAATCCAATGAGGGATTGGCGATCCCCAGTTTCAAGTGGAGATGCAGAAATATTTTCATGGTGTGGGCTCTCAACACCCTGAGGCCGTTCTGGTGATTGGGGTCCTGCCACATTCCACATTTCAATGGTTCCGAAGTGCTCCTGGCAGCCCACACCCTGCTAACAGGATTTGGACTGTGTATGCAGGGGTTGGGGGTGGGGGAAGGGCAGGTCAAGGCAGTCAGGATCCTGAGAAAGGATGTCAGCTGAGGCTGGTCACAGGAGGGAGCTCCCGGGGGTACCTGGCATCTTTTTAATTCTAAGCCTTAACCTACACATACACACATATTCGCCCTGAAGGCAGAGCCAGAGGAATCTGACCTGCCTTGCAGGGGCAGTGCTGGGTGAGATTGCTGGGTGAGATTGCTGGGCTATCCTCTCTTAAGCAAACCTTGGGAGCATGGGCTGCTGGAAAATCTTGGGATTCTCTCAGGCAGTCAGCCCAAATAGAAACTGAAAATGGCCAATTTAAGAAGCCTTGGAAGATTTTGGGTGGGTGGGCTATCTCTACCCTGAAGGCTGTAAAACCCAAAGTGTTTATTTGGGGCCTTATGGTTTGCAGTCTTGAGAGATACAGAGTTGACCAACATGTGGATTATAAACGGTGAGCGCAGGAGTGCAGGCTTATAAAGGCAGAAACCATGAGGTTTCATAACTTGTTTTGAAAGAATTATGATTGGTGCTGGTGGAGTTAAACTGACTAATACAGGATTAGCTATTGAGCTAGCAGATGTTACATTATCTCTGTTTCAGCCCAAAGTAGAAGGGCACATTCCAGGAAGTGGTCCAGTTGCAATTGACAAAAGTCAAAAGTTCATGGTGTTCTTAGAATTGAACAGGAGACGGGCATCGGCTCTTCTTTTTAGTGACTCTCTTAATGCTTACTTCATGTTGGATTTCTTTTCCCACATTTCCCCCTTTTGATCGAGATCTTTCTGGCAGGAAAGCATCAGTGATCCATTTCATGATGGTGGAGTTTCAGTTCATTGCTGAAGTGGTTGATAGCCTGCTCTTGGTCCATCATATCCCTTGGGAGGGGACACATTTCATGGGTGGCTGATATTTAGTATATTCAATAAGGTCCTAGGTAAGAGTCTTATGGCCACGTTTGAGTAATGAGGAGTTTTGAAGAAATGAGGTCTAGACATCAGTTAGGTTCTCATTTCTCTTAGTCAAAGGGTAGATCTGATGAATGGTTTTGAGTCTTTGAGCAACTATCATTGACACTTTGAGTAGCAATGCAGCAATAGGAAATATGCAGGATAAGCAATTTGAAAATTGTAGGGCACAAATTTAAATAATCCAGCTAAAAATATTAGAAAACTTAAACCTCCTGGGGTGAAGCTCAAAGGCCTTTAAAAGTTTGGCTAGTTTGAGCGACTGATGGTTTCTAATACTACTTATTGTGAGGTGTTTACCCAAGTACAGCAAGAGGTATTAGGTGTGGTGCAGTCTCCTTCTCAGGCTGCAAATAAATAATCCAAAGCCATCCTATTGTGAAGGACTACCCAAGCTAGGGAATCTAGGAATCTTTTCTGGGCTGTGATGGCTCTGGCAGTGGTTTGAACTACTCTGGTAAGAATTCTGGTAAGACTTTTCATCATAACTTCCAAGTCTGCTCTTCCTACTCCAAGCCATGAACC